GGGGCTCCCGCGGGCACGCCGGGGCTTCTCCCTTTCGCCGCCCCCCCCGAGGCCTCCCTCGGAGCGAGGGGAGCCTTCGGGCGCGCGTGCCTACGGAAAACTCTGGAAACACGGGCCGCCTGTAAAAACTACAGCGTGTGGTGGAAGCATTAGTCGCCTTCAGGGGTGTTTTGAATACCAGTTGACTTATTTTTTTTTCTTTGCAGAAATAGTGGAATTTCAAAAAATAGTGGGTAGCTTAATTGAACTTGTTGATCAACTGGCGAAAGCTGCTGAAACTGAGAAGATGAAGGTACTGTGCGATTAATTACCGGCTTGTCGTGAACTCTGCTCTGCGCTGCGCCTGGAAAACCAGATCTCTCCCTTCCTCCTTTGAGGGCATACGCAGCCTCTTTCTGTCAGTCTCGTACGGGCGTTTCCGTGGTAGTTAACACCTGTCTGTCTGCAGTGCGAAAGCATTGGGGGGTTTTTTAATTGATGTTAATGTCTAGAAGACTTTTACGGGCACACTCGGTGTGTCGTATGACTCCTGCTACGTTTAACAGTCCTACTGTTGCTGCCTATCTATGTATTAGCACATAAAATAGAACATGTATTTTTTAATCACTCCTTCTACTAGTGGACCTTTGCTCTCAAGAGGCATGAGGGGCTCTGTGAGGAGGAGGAGGAGGAGGAGGAGGGCTTTCTAAAGACCAGATCAGCAAATAGCTCTTTGGAATTTCCTTTATGTATTTCTACGTGACACCAAGCGGTGTGGGTTTTTTACACGTTATTGTGGAAACCGAAATTAACGTTTAGCACAATTGTAGGTAATTGCTTTTTTCCTTACTTGTTCTGGGGGAAAAATCGTAACCAGAACTTGTCTGTCTGTAGGACCAGTCACCGATGATCAGTCTGTATTTCCAGGGGAGTCAGTGACTTTTGTTCCTTGAGTGTGCAGGAAGCCTCAAATGCCTTAATCTGCCCAACCTCTACAGGGACTGTTTGCCTGTTCCACCAACCGTTGGGTATTCAGGTGTCACCCTCCTTTATTGTTAGCATGGCTGAAACGCTTCAACCTGCTAGTAGTGAAAGGGGTTAAAAAAAATAAAAACCCCCAGTACAGCTACATCACTGACCGTCCCGTTTTGGCAGGCCATTGGTGCACGGAACTTGCTGAAGTCTATAGCAAAGCAGAGGGAAGCTCAGGAACAGCAACTTCAGGCTTTAATAGCTGAGAAAAAGATGCAGCTGGAAAGGTAAGTTTTCTTTTACGTACTTCTGGGGCATTACGTAGGCTGGAAAGTCAATCTTGCCGTCCGCGCTTGGCTGCAGGATACGGTCCAAGGTTGTTCCAACAGCCCGTCTGCGGTGAAGGTGTGTCCTCCCGCACAAAGCACGCGCGGGACGGCGCGGAGCCACAAGCCTAGAGTTAACTTAAGGCCCTGCCGGCCACTCCTCAAGACGGTTCATCTCTGATGACTTTGTGGCTAAATAAACAGAGGCGGCATGAGATCATGCAGTTGAAGAAGTGAGCAGAGCTGTAACGCAGCGCCACGTGCCTGACTGGGAAAGGTGCTTTAGAACTGCAAAGTCTAACTCGTGCAGCCGCTGCTTTGCAGAGGGCTTACGCGTGTAGCCCAGCTTTCCTTCGCCACAGACCAGTGAACGTTGGACTAAACCACCTACCACGGGCTGGAAGCAGCTGGTAACCATTTGGTTTTTTCTTTCAGGTACCGAATAGAGTACGAGACTTTGTGTAAAATTGAAGCAGACCAGAACGAATTCATTGACCAATTCATTTTTCAGAAATAGAGGATTTTAAGATAAGAATGAACTAGCTTGGAAACTTGACCATTCCAGAATCTTGAGAATTTCAAAAATATGCAATTTTTCACTGTGTGTGACTGAAGAGATGGTTTGTACAAAGGGAAGTGTCTTTTCAGTGTGAGTTACACTAAAAGTGGCAATAAGGAGGGCTTTCTAACAGACGTAAAGACTGTTCTGTCCTTTGATTTTATAAAAGTTTTGTACAGTCAGTAGTTCTAATTCAAATTATAGTTGGATTAATGCTACCGTTGCTATGTTTTGTCTCTCACTTTTTGAAGTGTACAGCTCTTTCAAAGAAATTGGGAAATAAATTATTGTTTTCAGACTTCCTGGATATACCCGAATTAGTTGCTTCTGCTATGTTATTTTTGAGCTTAAGAGTTTACAGCTCCCTGGCTAGTCATAATGATTTTCCTATATGTAATATTTTTCTGTCTGTAAGGACGCAACACAGAAGCAGCAGTAACTCTTATCTATATTGACCAGGTTATTTTTTCTATAGAGTTAGGAAAAAAAAAACCCAGAAATTTATGATTAATTAGGATCAATTACAGACACACAAAAAAGCAGCAAATAACGGCAGAATGAAGAACTTTAAACTATGCCCAAGGTGTGTCCACACAGGTAGTAATACTAGAGTAGAATTCTTTTGTGGGCGTTACTAGTGATAGAACCGCAGACTGATGCCACAGACTGTTCCAAGCGTACAGTGACACCAGGAGTACGTATAAACTATAAATACGAACGTGACATTTAAAAACCGAATGCCTGCGATCTAGAAGCAAGCCTCATCTTGAAGTGCAAGTAGATGCATTTTATGTCTGTCTTTAGGCAACCAAATACAGAAATGTCGACCTTGTCAAAGCCCGCGGAAGGCTTAAATTTTACAGCAGTGAAGTCCTGAGGCATATAGGCGGCGACTGAAAAGCCTTCTCCGTGACTTGTGATTTTACACGTCTCCAAGTTTGATTCTTGCAGATCAGATTGAGAACTTAACAAAAACCAAACAAACCAAAACTAAAAACCCAACAACCAAAAAAACCAACCCAGAAATTCTATCAGTAGTAGGTTTTATTTACTGTAACTTCAAAGTCTAATGCATATATTTACTGTGTGAACTATCTACGATAGTTCATTCCCTTTAGTCATTCCCTTAAGAAGATTAAATGCAGTTCAGAGGCATTTAGTTATTTATTTCCATACTAGAAGTGATTTCATGGCCAAGAGAAATCTACAAATCCTTGTTTACAATTCCTGAAGTACTTCAACGTCCCCTAGGAAGTATGCCTCGTTGTCAAACAAGGGTCACTTTAAGCATTCAGAAATCCAGTTTTTGGCACATTTATCACTGATCAGACATTTACAATTAATCAAAATTGAAGCAAAGCAAAGGAAGGGGCGAGGAAGGTAAGAATTATTACATGATTTGAAACGCTTCAGAAGCATAGCTTTGCAAATCCGTATATCATCAGTTAGGGATTTTGCAGAATATGCTCTTGGAAGACAAAGTTCTCACTTAAGTGGTTTTCCAACACTCATCTTGGAAAAAGGGAACTTGAAAGAAAAGTATCAGCTGTAGTGTCCACCTCCCCCCATCACAGCCACACATCAAATGGTTGTTTATTTCCCTATCAGGGATGTACCGCACAAAACTGACAGTGGGAGAGGAGAGCGGTCCCTCCACCTGCGCGCGCCCAGAAACCACGCGAAATTGCTAATGCAGGCGTCTGCCGAAGCTATTTCTGATTAAAGGAGAGCTGTGAACTCAAACCAAGTTTTCCTTGCAGGAGCCAGCTGCTCTGGCAATAGCTGTTGCAGCCAACACCACGAGACGGATGTTTGTCCCGGAGGACTACGTCAGCACAGGGTCTGAATCAAAACCAGTACGAGTGTTGTGCTTACACCTGCGACAGTGGGCTACTTCCTTTTCCTTTTCTCCACGTGGTTATAATGGGGGTTGTAGAGCATGGTAAAAAGAATCAGAAGAGGTATCAGCAAGTATGGCGCATATATCGAGAGCAGAATTAGGCGTTCACGTTGTGTCTGAGGTCCCAAATGCTCAGACTTCGAGAAATCGTGGAACAGGATATGCGCAAGGATAGCAAACAAAGTTGTAGCTACGTGGGTGGAGTAGATAATGGCAGGAGTCCGTATCCATTTGCAGCCACCTGTAGAGAAGCAAAAAGGAAAGAACACTGAAGTGTTTTGAAACAAGCAGAATTCAGTGGCGTTTAAATTAACAGAACGTTAACTGCTCTCTCTCTCTGACAGGATGAGCCGTAAGTCATACTACATAGGTAGCAGAAAAAAACAGGTATTAGTAGCAACCCAGGAAAGTTATCTACCTTTACAGACATCTGGAATGACGGCGTGATTGTGAAAGTTTTAAAGTAACAAAATGTGTACACGGACTTGACCCAGAACTTTCTCTGCCTTGGAAGCGTGCCAGGTGTCAAAACGGGGTGCTGGTTACATACCGATGGCTGCAGTGGAAAAGGGCCTGCGGTCACGGGTTTTGTTTCCAACAAGCCTTATTCCATGCTGCTTTCGCAGGTAAAACTCGCCATGAAAATAGCACAGCACAGCACAGCACAGCACAGCACTCCATGTGGTACGTCCCTATAATCGCTTGAGACTGATAAATAAACTTTCTCTGCTGCACAGAAAGCAAGCGTTGCGCAGAAATGCCGCACAGGACATATTCTTACACTTGTTTGATACCAACCTTTTAAGAAGGCGTACACTGCGATGGGGAAGAAGGGCATTTGTAAGAAGGCTTCGCAATATATAAACGCCTTAAACCACTCTGGGGGCTGGAGCATCATGGGGTCTCTAAAGGTGGCTGCATACCACTGCAACAACTCTGTCAGCTTAAGAAAAAGAACGAAACAACAGATTAATGCACTGAACGTCAACCACAACGGGGGAGGAACTGCGACCCTCATCTGGCGGTCAGATGAAGCCATCATTGCAGTGGGAAAATCAAGTGATCTCATCTTGGTACACAAGGCTTCATCCTGCCATTCAGTTTTAATAGGGACTACACTTCTGAAGTCTTTAAAGCGAAGAACCCTTTCCGTTAAGCATATACTAAATTTGCACCACAGGCAATTTTAGGGTTACTACAGCACTAAGTGCAGTCGCTTTCCAAAAACTATTTCTGAAATGTCGTTTCTTACCAGAAAAAACCCAAACGACAAATGATCTGCACCTTGACGTAAGTAGATACTGAAGAACTCTCCTATTTTCCTCTTTCTGACCCTCCTGTTGCCAGCTGAGGTGGGCTCAAGCTTGCAAATACCTTTCGGCACTCGCCGTGCCTAACCAGGAGGTGAGAGCCCAGCCAGGTCTCACCACGCCGAGAGGAGTCTGGGGCCTCATTCGGTGGGGGAGCGCACCGTTCCATCGCCACGTGCGTGGCTGGCGGCTGCTGCTGCTCGAGCAGCTTGACGCACCAATGTCGGCTCAGCGAGCTGCAATTAGTTTTCATGACAGAAATGTAAATTCCAGCATGGCTTTAAGGTGGACTTTGAACAGAGAGATAGGTATTGAGATTTGCTAGTTAACTATTAATTAAAAATGGTTTCTATAATGGGGTAACTACAGGCAATTCTAATGGCAAAAATCAAATTCACTAATTGTGAAGCTTGGATAGGAAGTTATGGCTGATCTCATCCTCATGACGAGTGGAATTGATTATCTTCTATCCGACTACTCCTTTAATTGACTTTATTGTGTTTATTGTCTTCTATAAGTTTATTCAAGACCCAGCAAACCAGGGATTTTTACTAATAAATTTGGTTGCTAGTACGCCTGTTTCTGCAGCGGTAACAATTCACTTTAACGTTTTTGGCCGGAGTACGAGCGAAGATCAGGACGACGGCGCGACCAAGGCAACGACAGCCGCATCCAGGGGGCACGCGGCGGCGTGCTCGGCGCTGCCAGCATCTTTAGGGCGCTCACGCCGTACGTGACAGGCAGGGCAGCAGGTACGCTCCTGCGCAAACTGTTGTTATCGTGCCCGTTTGCTTTCCTCTACCTGCAGGGTGCACAGCATGCCGTACCGGGGAAATGGCGGCCCACCGCCAGTTTGTCCGGGGCTGTTCTTGCGTGCCCCTGTGGCTGGGGGCGTTTAAACCCAAAGGAGCAGCCCCCACGCATCCCAGTTACAAATTCGGAAAAAAAATCGGTCACAGCTGCCAAACGTGCTGAGAGACAGTCACACTGATTGTCCTTCCCAAATGAACGGCTTGGCTAAAAATACAAGTCGTCGCGTAGGTAGCAAGTATTGACTTATTTTCAAATACTATTTCATTGTAGGAAATTTGCTGCTGCGTTTTTCTTCCTCCCCCCTCACGTCTCTGCGTACTAGATCCTGTAAAAGCAAAACGCCGCAGGACCCATTCGGTCACGCGAAGGCTCCGCGTGCGTTCGCTTCCCCTCCCGACCCGCGCACCGAATAAGCCCCC